CACTGCACTGACAAGCAGAAAGCTCTTCATGCCAAGAGCTGACATCGTGGTGTGCACCAGCCCAGGCTGGAAGTGCATCTGGAATTTCTTGCTCCCTCGGGAGCATTTGATTAAAGGAGGATTTTCATGGTGTGTTGAGATTCAGAATGTGGCTGCTATTCAGTAGCTGCTGGTGGCAGTTCTGAGCCAGAACACACACTGGGGCTCTGCTCCTTCTGTGGCAATAAACTGAGTCCTAGGACAAGGAATTCTGCACAATTTCCCCCACTGAGCAGAAGAGCACAGACAAGGCCATGCTCACACTCGCTGCCAGGCTGCTGTTCTTGCACAGGTTTCACCAGATTTTCAGTGATTCTCCATGGAAGGCTTCCACACCTGCTCTCTAATGTGTCTCTTACAGCTAAAGAACTCGAATCAGCTTCACTGTTACTTGAGATGCGTGAGTTTGGAAACTGAGGACATTTCATGAGTGTCTGCACACCTGCACCGGGCCCCAGAACAGCACTTGCAAATGCATGAGACCTCACAGCATATTGTGCCTTTTACAGGCCTAACAGGCTCAGTCTAATTCACAAACATACACATATGCTCCTCAGAGTGCTCAGTCTAAATTAATTTCTGCTATTATAAATCTTGAAAAACTTCTCCATAGCCCAAGAGATGGCTCTGGAGTCACAACACAGATGTGTACAGTTGTACAGAAGACACTTCATAATTGTGTTTCCTTCTTCTCTTCCTAGTAACTGAAGTTTTAATTAATAAAAACTGTGCTTACAATGAAGTAGGAAAACGGAATATTTTAAACAGAGGTATGCATTTTATTAATTTCCTATGGTTTGATTTATGGATTTGCAAACTTACCACTTCAGTCTGAACTCATAAAGCAGAAAAATTACTTTAAAATTAACTTGACAGTGCTTTAGGATGAATTATGGATACTTTTTTTGGCTTCTGACAGTAATTTGCTTCGGGATATTCTTCTGGCTGAGAAGCTGTAAACAAGACACAGCAGCAAAAATATAAGCAAAGAAAAGCAACTAAAATAATTAGATCAGATATAGTATTAATCATTTTTGATGCTGAATTTGGTTCCTTTGCGTCTAACCAAACTAACTGTATTTATTTCATAATTATTTATTTTCATAATTTTTATTAACTGTATTTATTTAATAATTTTTATCCACAGTGAATATATCCATGTGTATTGTGTTTTCCCTCCAAGAATCACTGCATCTCCATCATGAGGAAAATAAAACTTTTTCAATTACCACAAAACTCATTAATTTATTTAAAGTAAAGTCTGCAAGCGGGGAATTCTAGTGCTCCATTTTACATAGCATATAAATTAAGCTTTTCCTTTTGCACAACTCCTTATGCTGCTAACTTGTTAAAAATTGTGCCACTTTATATTATTAACTGGAGCCCAGGACTACAAGGAGCCGTTGAAACACACCCAAGAGACCAGCCAGAACACAGGCACTGCAGTGGAAGGATTAGTGAGCAGGATGCTCAGACACTCATTTCCAGCTTGGAGTGGCCACAGCTGACTGCAGCTACATCTGGCCACCGGATGTGCACCTCTTCATGCGAAAGTTGTGGATACTGAAAAGTTAATGAAGGCATTTTCCAGCTCTGCAGGATGTGTGTTGCTCCTTTCTGCTATGCTGATGCACATGATTGTGTATCTTGTGCAAGCAGTTACTGGACACACAAACCAGGAAGTGGATATTGGAAGTAATTGTATTATTAAACAAGGAATCATAGCTAATTTAATTAAGAGATAAATATACACTTACAAGTAAGCAAATGTCATCGGGGTATCAGTTGTACTTGCATAGCTTTCCAGTCATCAGAGTGCTTTAAAACCCTTCTCATTTATGGACAGTATGTTTCTCTGAACTAGGAAAACAAGGTTTTTTCACATAATGCATGAAGCAAGAGTTCAAAGGACTTGACCGAAGAGTATCAGCAAGTAAACTAAAAATGTATCCTATTAATAAAATCCTTACAGGAATATGTTATTAGGCTAGTGGTTTTGCAGTTGGGTTGCAGGAATTCAACGGGCAAGGAGTTGAAAATTAGGACCAAGATGGCTCACTCTTGTAACTTCATGCTTTCCTTGCAGTCTGCATAAAAAGTTTGGAAATTATCTTGGAGCTTCACACAGTTATCAGTCCTAAGCTGTCCTAATGACTGAAAGTAAGATGTTTCAAAGAAACAAGTCAATGATGATCCAGCTGTTCATAACATGCCTGTGTTTGCCTTGTCATAGTATTATCATCACATAGTCTAAATTTAGACAACCTCAGACATTACAAAAATCAGTGTTTGCATTGCAATTATAAAATTTCTTACTTCTAAAATCTAAAGATTGTAGAGAAGCTATTTCAGAGAGCAAACAATAGCATATTTAGAAGAAGGAAGCAATTTTTGGAAAAAGCCTTCACGGATTTTGAAAGAGGCACAGCCCTTCTTTATGACCATGTGGAGCTTAAAGGGTCATCTACCAAGTTCTACCGTAGCTGCATTTGAACGATAAACTGTGGGAACTCACAAAATCCTAGGCAAGGAGACTCCCCTTACTTTGGAAATCTATAGATTTTAGACATATTTTTCCATAGCACTTTGTGATATCACGTATCACAATACTTTGTGCAGTCATTTACATGGGTGAAGTAAAGACTAGCAGCAATCTGACTGCTCACTTTGAACTGAACAACCACACAAGATGCTAACACAGAAAATCACCCTTTGATTTCTCAAGAGTTAAATTGCATCTGCAAACGACGTCAAGCTCCATTTGGAGTAAGCTCTGATGTCTGTCTAGTGCATTTCTGCCACTGGTTATTCTTTATTTTTTTGTTTCTTCAGATAAGAAATTTCTGCATCCTAGCTGCTAATGGAAGAAGAGCATAATTCTGAAATGCTTAGTCACTTTTATACTTTTTTTACTGATGCTGGGAAGAAGTGACAGAATCCTGTAGTTAACATGATTCAAAAGATAAGGGGGAGGAGAAGGTGGAGAAAGATTATATAAAATATATTTATATTGCTTCTACAACTTAATTGTTTTCAGTATAGTGTCATGCTCTCAGTGTGGGGGAATTCTGCATGTGTCATGATTCAACAGATGTTCTTGCACACTACATGCAGCTGCACTATTTGTCATGGGCAAATTTAATAGAAAGATGCTTGTCATGTGTTCCCTCTAATCTTAGTTCACAAAAACATAGAGGGGGAAAAAACCCACTCCCTGATAGCTTGCTTGCTTCCCTTCTTTATATAGCCTTTTAAAACACTTTAAAACCAATATTGGGAACACCCATCTTTTGCACTAAATTCTTTAACACCTGCAATTATAGCTCTATTACCTTTGCTAGAATGATCTTGTTCTTTCTAATGTTTATAATGCTAATTAAATAATTTTAAGTACCTGAAGAGGTCATATTCCTAACAGTAGGGGTTCTTCAAGAGCTTGATCCTTCAAAAAGGAGAATAATTTCTGCTAAGTCCTGAGTATACTCTGTTCTCAGTGACTTGCAAATGAAACTCTGAAGCACTCCATACAGCAGAGCCAAGTGCTGTCAGAAATTTTACAGAGTCAAATTCAGAGGAGCTTTCCTACTCTTGTAATTTTAAAATCCTGGATCCTCTCCTCTAGGTATTCTCTGTCCTAAACTTTTTAGGTCTGCAGGCAATGTGTTAACCAGCCCTTCAGAGGGAACCATACCCTTGGCTTCCAGCTTCTTGCAGATGCATTCAGAAAGTAGAACAAGATTGTGCAAAC